ATATATATATATATATGATAACTTTTTTTTTACTAATAAAGGATAATAATTCCTTTTTATTTCCATCAATATAATTTTCAATTCAAAAAAATAATTATTGCAATGCCATATATATATATATATATATATGACATATCATACTAACACTATCATGATGTTACAAGGAGGTATAGACGTAAAATGGTAAAGAATATGCTAACATCTAATTGTGAAATGTTTTTCTTTGAGAAATTTTTTTAATATATATTGTGGAACTAATCTATTAGTTGAAAAGGGAAGATTTTAGGAAGCCACCCCCAAGTGGATGGGTGAAAACAAACAGTCTGTTGTTATGGGACGTCCCTACAGAGGCAGCTTCATTTTACCCGCCTTTTTTGGCCTCAAATACCTTCAAATGCCATCTGATTTGAAATTCTACCATACAAAATTTGAAAGTAGCTGACAAATCTCAAGTACGGGAGGCTTGACTTGACTAATTCAGCAGAATTTAATTACGATGTCCTACAGTGTCAAGGGAGATATCCAAAGGCATCGCTTTTGAATCACGCTTCATGACAAGATTCAGTCTCAACTAGTTGAATGCTCGAAATCGATGACCAATGGAAAAAGGCTACAATGGTTTTTTTAACAAACAATACCTGACCATAGAGTAGATCCTAAGAATTACACTATTTAGAGTTTTCAATCAATAAAATTCACAAACCTATCAATGGAATATCATTTTATCACGTGAGGAGGAATTTTTTTTATTTATAAACATATAAATAATTAAAAAAATAATACTTTTATAATTTATATTAAATAAATAAACAATATAAGTTATCACAGATAAAATATATTAAGAGCATTAATATAATTTTTTTACGCAATCAATCATCTTATTCAAACTCTAAGATTAATTAATGTTTTTAGTGACAAAAATATCAATGAAATATCATTTTGTCCTACGAGGAGGACTTTTCTTCAACTAGAAATAAATTAATAGTTAGAAATTATAATATTTTCTTAGTTTATATTATATAAATAAACAATGCAATTTATCACAGATAAGATGTATTAATTAATACATTTTCTTTATGCAATCAGTTTTCTTATTTGAAATTTTAGATTATTTAAGGTTGTTAGTAACAAAAATACAAGATAATGACTCTTATTTTCTTTTTTCTACTAATAAAGAAAAAGAATTCCTTGTCCTTTCTATCCACACCATTTCCAATCCAAAAAAATGATTATCATGACGTCGTACACGTGTGACATACCATACTAACACTATCATGTGCTCCTATATCTCTTGTACAAGAGAGTATTTGATAATTCTTACACTCTTGTACCTCTTGCTTTTTATAAATTTCAAATTTTCTTCTACATGGTTCTATATTTTCATGAATAAAACATCTTTGAGGCTGGTTATTGTTTCGTTTGTTAGGGCTGCCGGTGTTCTTTCGTAGCTACTGGTGGCTTTTCTCAAATGGGGGTGCAGTGCTGGTTTGATAATGTCCATCTCTCAGTTGTGGCTGGTTGTGATGTTTTATCTACTAGCTTGCTAGATGGTTATATTGATGGAAGGTATACTTTGACTGGTTGAGGTGGCCGGTGATGCCTTTCACTTTATTTTTTGCCGTGTATTGGGTGGGGCACTTTGTTGTTAATTTGGGTTTTTTTCTGATCATTGTCAGCTAAATTTTTCAATTGTTTGTAATTCTTTTGGCTTTATTGTATATGTACATGTGCTTACAATAATTTTTTAGAAATGTTTTTCTTTTAGAATTTTTTTTAATATAATTTTTATATGGGGAACTGAGCTATTGTCTTCGTGGAAAAGTTGAAAAGGAAAGATTTTAGGAAGCCACCCCGAAGTGGATGGGTGAAAGAAAAGAGTCTATTGCTATGGGACCCTACAGAGGCAGCTTGATTTTACCCATCGTTTTTTTCCTATAACCCATAAACTTATTTTGATCATTTGAAACTTCTTACAAATTATGAAGTAATGCGTTCTCACCAGGACAATAAAAAAATGGACAAAAAGAGAAGCATTTATGAGATAACTTTGTCAAAGTCAAAGAAATTAATCCTTAATTTAAACTAAAAAAAAAAAGAAGAAGAAAAGGTCAAGAAAATGCTGCTTGTACACGCTGGGAGCTAGTGCCTATAAAATGGTCGTTCCATCCATGCCATCTTGCATCAAATCTCTACATCTTCATACATTCTACAGCTCTGTAACTCACCATCTCTCCTATCGAGGAAAAGGAAAAGCACAGAATCTCTGCCTCATTTACAAACTTGCGTTACATTCTTTTGTACCCAGACAAACCTCTGTTCCACACAATAAGCCCAAGCCTTTATAATATCCAATCCTATTTATCTAAGTGCCAGCTTCAATACTTGGACTGCAATGGGAAGCATCGATGACTTCAGCCGTTGTTCTTTCCCAGATGATTTTGTTTTCGGAACATCCTCATCAGCTTACCAGGTACATACTCTAAATTTTGCTGCTTCTGGTGCAGCAATTAGGAGGGGAAAGCAGAACATTATTTAAAATAATACTAGTTATGTTAATTAATTTTTCGTTATTATTTTATTATGATATGCAGTATGAAGGTGAAACAAACAAACATGGTAGAGGACCAGCTATATGGGACACTTTCGCTGAGGAACATACAGGTACCAATCTATCTCCTTGAAATTTGTACTTCCCTCGCTAAAAGTTGAATAGAATTATGTTAATGTTCTAAGAAAACCACCATTATTAACTTTTCAACGTTTGCAGAGAGAATAAATGATCATAGCAACGGAAATGTAGCTGTTGATTTCTACCATCGCTACAAGGTATGGGAGTTCTTCATCATATTTTGGTTGTGGTTATCTATATGATGTAAATAACTATATTCTAATTAATTTAGTGTAATTGTTCTTTAAAAAAAATCGATAAATGTTACAGGAAGATGTGCAAAGAATGAAAGAAATGGGAATGGATGCTTTCAGATTCTCCATTTCTTGGTCTAGAGTATTACCACGTAAGTTTTTTTCTTTTTTATTTTAAAATTTGTTCTTGACATAGTAATAGTAATGACACTAGCAGGATTTGACTTTGACGTCTGTTTTCACAGAGTGAATTTCCATTTGATATATAATAGCTTTCCATTCGATTTTTTTTTTTTTTGGAAAATGCAGATGGCAGGTTAAGTGCTGGAGTCAACGAAGAAGGCATCAAGTTTTACAACGATCTCATTGATGACCTCCTTAAGAATGGTTATAACCTTTCCCTTCCCTTCAATTAATCTTAATATTTTGCCAAAAATTGATGCGAAAAATCTTATACAACAAAAGGTTTATCTTGCGCGCTCCATCTGATTATATGATGTTTCGTAATATATAGGTTTGCAGCCTTACGTTACTCTCTTTCACTGGGATACTCCACAAGCTTTAGAAGATAAATATGGTGGTTTCTTAAGTCCTAACATTGTGTACGTAGCAACCTGTCGTTAATTATGCTTCAAATGTCCAAACTTGTTGTAGCTTCGAAATATTATAATCAAATCTCTCGTTTTGGCGACTTTGTGGACCTATGCTTCTCTAAAATTCAAAACATTCCTGTAAATATTCTCACATAAAACATTGATTTCCAGAAATGATTTCCGAGACTTTGTCGACCTTTGTTTCCAAAAGTTTGGAGACCGAGTGAAGAAGTGGATTACTTTGAACGAACCGTGGATGTTCAGTGTTCAAGGTTATGACATGGGCACGATGGCACCGGGTAGGATTTCTGTCGTTGTAAATGATCCCCACCGATCCTTAAACACTGGTGCCACTGAAGTGTATACGGTTAGCCATCATTTGTTGCTTGCTCATGCTGCGGCAGTGAAACTATACAAGGAAAAGTATCAGTCATGTCAAGGTGGACAGATTGGGATAACACTTGTTTCTCATTGGTTTGAACCTTACTCAAACAGTGAAGATGATCAAAATGCAACCAAAAGAAGCCTCGACTTCATGCTTGGTTGGTTAGTATTTTTTTTATATATATCAAATTCAAAAGTACTCTCTGAATTCTTCATTCAGCTAGAGAAGACCTGATATGTATGTATAAACAGAAGGTAATCAGTGTTTTTCTTCATGGTGGCAGGTTCATGGATCCTTTAACTAATGGTGACTATCCACGTAACATGCATGATTTTGTTGGTGGAAGATTGCCCAAGTTCACTGCCGAGGAATCTAAGATGTTGAAGGGATCGTATGATTTTATTGGAATTAATTACTACACAACATATTATGCCCAAAATATCGATGCAAATTATCAGAGTGTTGGATTCATGTCAGATGCTCGTGCTAATTGGACAGGTAACCAATGATCGATATCTTTTCTTTATTGTTCATCTTATTTTTTTTTCAACTAGATGATGTTTTATCAATTATCAATTATTCATTTACTTTGTTATTTCTTAATTTTGTAGGAGAGAGAAATGGAATCCCAATAGGTCCACAGGCTGGTGTAAAATGGCTTTATATTTACCCCGAAGGCATCAGCAGGCTTTTGAATTACACCAAAGATCTATACGGGAACCCAACAATTTACATTACTGAGAATGGTATGGTTGAAATGAACGATCATACATTATGCTACATTTAAGTTTCTTAGTACTTCTCTAACACTAAGTATATATGTTTTTAATGTTTTATTTTATTGATTTTTTTTTCAGGGGTTGATGACGTAAATAACAATGCTTCATCATTAAAGGAAGCTCTTAATGATCCCATAAGAGAAAAATCTTACAAAGACCACCTTAAGAATGTTTTGAGATCCATCAAGTGAGTTAATTCTTTTCATTTATTAACAAATGATCATTGATAATAACTTTTTTAATCTATAGCAACAATTATATTATTAAGTTACTAAATCCATCTAATTGGGATTCAATATTCATTTATTGTAGTGAACATGGTGTTGATGTTAAGGGATTTTTTGCTTGGTCTTTAATGGACAATTTCGAATGGGGAAGTGGTTATGCTGTGAGGTTCGGCCTTTACTATGTTGATTACAAAAATGATTTGAAACGATATCCTAAAAAATCAGTCAAGTGGTTCAAGCAGTTTCTTAGAAGAGACTCTCACAGTCCTATTCCACATACGTATCCTCTCATTACTTTTAATGAAAAGTCAAAAATTGAAGATAGTTTGGTTTGGGATGCTAAAAGGCCAAGAAATGCCTAAATGCCTTCGACAGGATTTGAAGTCCAAGTTGTTAACATCTGCAAATTGGGCTTTCACGGCTGAAAGATAGAGCTCTCAACATTAATTCAATAGAATTTGGTCACCACTTCATTCATTCAAGGCTATGGTTAAGAATAAAAATTCATGATTCTAGTTTTCCCTTGTTTTATGTTTAATTAGGTTTCATAATTTAATTTGATTATTTTACTGTTGTATCATTTTTTCATTCGGATTATGATTCATTTAATAATAATACAATTCTTCTGCACCATCATTTATTATGGTTTGTTTAATAGATTATAGTATAAACAAATGCAAATGTATTGGATAAACCAAAAATAGAAAAAGTAGAGAACTAAAATAGCTTGATATACATGACAAAATGATGATAGGAGAGTGTTGAGGAGGTGGCTGATTATGAATTAAAGAGAGAGATTATGTATAAAAATACAAAAATATTAGTTTGTGTGGGAGAGACATCCAAATCCAGTAAGTTAGACTTACTTTGCAAAGTCTAAGACACTATTCCACAACAGGATTTTGTGTTAATGGTTTACATGAAAAAGTCTTTAAAAAGTGTGGTGTGATTGCAAAGGGCTTGACATCTGCATAGCAGGTCTCGAGTTCGAGTCAGGACGTGCATCTCTTATAAGAGCTTAGGACAGTCAGGGTTTTATTCCTTCACCTAGGTCTATGAAGTGTGCTTTTCTAGAGGTGGTGCTTCCTTGAATAAAAAAAAAAGTTTTACATGAAAAACAATATCTAATAAATATCTCATTTTCAATGTAATGAGATATCATTATCTGTAGGGTTATCCACCATGAGCATTAAAATGCTAAAAAGATAGGCGGAAGAAAGAAAAAAACAAATTCATAAAATCAATGTTCCAAAGATAATTTGAGCTAAGAAAAACTGCATAACTTGCGATAACAAAGTCAGGCCACAAATTCACAACTTCTAGTCACATTTTGTGAACCATCAGCCTTATGGTTATCAAGGAAACTAACCATTTCAAACAAGTGCCAACTCAAGCCTAGCTCTAACCATGAACATTACCAGATTTTGTGCCTCCTATGATAATAGAATCAGTTTCTTATCTTTGTAAATATTGCTATTAATTCTGATTGTAAATTTACTTTCTGTAACATAATATTCAATTAAGCCTGACCAAAACTGAAATCATCAATTAATCTCAAATCACACCCTTTATTTAGCATTCTACTAAGTCCTTCAATGCATATATTGAAAAAACATAGTGATAAAGAATATCCTTGATGCGAGCCCTTTTCTATAGAAAATTCTCTAGCTGGAGAGCCATTCAAAAGAATAGCAATTTTTTTATAAAAATAAATTTGTTGATCCATCCTTTCAAACATGAACCAAATCTCATTCACGTGATCATAACTTCATCTAGATACCCCTAAATCACTCAATTAAAAGCTTTATAAATGTTATACTTGAATAGATAAACTTTAAGTTTTCTTCTTTTTAAGTGACTGATACACCATTGATAATAAAAAAACATTATCAAAGATTTTTCCTTTTTTTTATGAAAGCATTCTTATCAGCACCAATAACCTAGGCATAACATCCTTAAGTGTGTTAGTTGACACTTTTGAGATAACCTTGTAGAGACTTCCAATGAAACTCATATGTATATGTAGTCTTTAAGGTTGTTAGAGCTAGCCACTTTAAGAAGGAGATGAATGAATTATTGATGCCACGAGAAAGGGAACCAATCAAATAAAAGTCATCAACCATATTAAAGATGTCACTTCTCATTGTATTTCATGCTTTCTTAATGAAAAAGAAGTTGACACCATCAGGTTTAACAACTTTATTATTATCATAGTACTAAATTGCATCTTTAACCTTATCAAGAGTAAAACATACTTGTAAAGAAATAATCAATGAAGGCAAAGGTTTCTAAAAGTTTAGTTTCAAGAAAGAGTGCCTATATCATTCTTTAAGAGAGTAAATGTTGCTTGAACGCAGCGTCATAGTGATCATCTTCCTTAATCAGGAATAGAATGGGAAAATGGTATAGGTGAAAAGGACAAGGAATTCTTGTCCTTTATTAATAAAAAGAGGGAATGAATCATCATCTAGTATTTTGATCATTAGAAATCAAAACTGGTCTTAGAGTTCGGGTATGGGGACTAGTTGCATAAGAAGAAGGTGTGAGCACCACTAATAAACCTTACATGAGGTAAGCTGTATTATTCATTTGTCTGATATAAATTAAGTTATTATTATATTTTTTTAATCATTGGTTTGTTTATGGTCAAATAAAAGTCCTTCTCAGTAAGGAGACTATTATCTTATTAAATAAAAAACATAATCGCTCTAATATCAATATAAAAATTGTAAACCCCAGGAAAAATAAATAAATAAATGAATAAAAGGGAAGAAATTCATTCATATGATTAAATAAAAATAGAAATTCATAAATTTTTTAATATAAATTTCAGGTGAAATAATTTGGGACATTATAATAAACTCGATACTATTGAGGGTTGGATTTAATGGAAGAGAATAATACACTTAAAAGAAAAAAAAGGCCTAAACGCAAATAATGGAAGAGAATAATACACTCAAAAAAAATATTTGAACCGTAAGGAGTGAAAATAGGGAGTTTTATACCCATTCTTAAGAAATCAAGAGAGAAACACTAAAATTTCAAGAACTCATCCAAGATTAAGAGTTCATAGATGGGATAAACACTTGAGGGCAAACAATTACTAAGAAATTGAACAAGAAGAAAAGAAAGGAGGGAGTTGAGAATCTGCAATTGGTTGAAGATCAAAATCTTAATTTGTATCGGGTAAGGTGTTCTAAACATGATCTTAAAAAAATTCATTTGTAATTTGATAAAGAATTGATGCCTTGATATTGAATCATAGGTTAGGGTTCTTGGATATAAATTGGGGAAAAAGTACTTATTGTTAAGATTAAGTTAATTCATGGGTGTGGTATGTAGTTTATGAAAGTATTGTTTGAAGGGGAGAGGGAGACGAATCTAGAGAGACTTGTCTCCTGACTTTTGATGAGATTTCAAGTAGAAGGATGATGTAATTAGAATAGGGTTCCTTATAGAAATTTTAGATTTGAATGTTAGTTAACCAAGAAAACTGGTCTTCCTCAATTTGGAGATGTAGAACTCCAATTATAGGTTACCAACTCAGACTGAGTCATGACTGATTATGTAGGGCAGTAAGACTAATTAGTTAATGGGCAATTTTGACTATCTTAGAGGCAAAACTAGGTTCTCCTTCCTTCAGAGAACTTGTAGCCTCGTGTCTTAGCTTTCTAAGAAGATCAATCTCACTTAAGATGAAGTTTTAGAACTTTAGATATAGTAAAAAAAATCTGGTGAGTGTTTAGATAGTAACAGTTCAAAATTAGACTGTAACGGTTAGACAGTAACAGTTGAAAATTGAACAGTAATAGTTGAAAATTAGACAGTAACAGTTCAAAATTAGATAGTAATAGTTGGATAGTAGCAGTTGAAAATTAGGCAATAACAATTCAAAGTTAGACAATAATGGTGGGATAGTAACAGCTGAAAATTGGACAATAACAGTTCAAAATTAGACAATAATAGTAGACTTTTTCACATGAATACTATATATAAGAATATAAAAGAATTGAGTCATACGAACACTTGCATATTAAGATACTAACTCTGAAAATATACGTGATATATGTATGCTATTATGAGGAAATGAATATATATAGAAAGTAACATATGAGTAATGGATGAATATGGATTCTCTATAATAACGGCTTGAAGGAATCATAACCAAAAACTTTCTTATGATTCAAGAGGAGCAACTAGGATTGGATCTTCTATTAAGGTAAGTCACGAGAGAGGCGAAGCAAGTGCGTGATTTTTCTCCTATTTGCACTTTTACAATTTAAAATTCTTCTAGTAAATGTAATTACAATAAATGTCGTGTTCAATGTTAATAAAGTCTAGTGATTTACAAGATTAGCTTCGGTTAATGGTATCCATGATAGGATTCCCCGGATATGAATTACAAGATTAGCTTCGGCTAATGTCATCTGTGATAGGATTGTCAGGATATGAATTATATGATTAGCTTCGGCTAATGACATCCATGATAGGATTGTCGGAAAATGAATTTCAAGATTAGACTTTGCAAGGTCACCCAGTTCGTGCAAGTAAATAAAAGTATTAAAATTAAGAATATACAAATAAGTGTTAAGTGAGTTAAAAGATTTACAAGCAAAATATAAGTTCTCTGTTAAAATTCTTATGAATTAGATAGAAAATTTATACTTCATCCGTATTCATTACATGAGCATTTATATATTCTTTATCAACATAACGACATGTTTGTTTATGTAACATGTCTATCAAATATCCATGGAGATTATTAGTTTAGGAACCTACTTTGTGAAGCTTATGTAAATTCTTAACTTAAACAAAAGGGAATTAACACATTTATGTAGTATACTTTTGTGTAAACCTTGATGTATTTATAAAAGTTCAGCTTAGCATGTAGCATTTTAATTATCTTGTAATTAATCCTTTTAAAATATTTCTTTGCATATTAATATTTCTTTCTTTGCATATTATTATGTTGTAAATGCTTTCTTTGCATATTAATATTTCTTTCTTTTAAATTTTATGATATGATGTTTGGACTATATTCATATTGAACCTACTTGTAGGATATATATATATATATATATATTGTGTGGACTACATGAGCTGTGAAATTATAAGACCATATGATGATGGAATTGATTGAGTAAATTGGTAGTAGTAAATGACCTAGGATGTCTTAAATGTAAATGAAACTCTATTAAATTTTTAATAAAAAAATTACTCTTAAATAAAGAGGATGTGTTGGGAACTTTTAACATTGATCGATCGTACAGTCGAACTGTTTCAAAAACAAAACAAACTATCTTTTCATTTAATATCAGAAATATATCTTATATATAAGTTCATAATCATGTATACTAACTAAAAACAAAACTACTATTTTTTTATTTTTTTAAAAATCACAAGCAAGCAAATATTCTGGAAAGGTCTTTTTATTGAGGCAAGCAGAGAGAGGCAGAGAGAGATAGATTCAAAGCAACTTTCATTTGTGTAAATATTATTTATTTGAATATTATATATGTGGGCAATGTTGCGATGTCGTGGTCGCACAAATTAATTACCCTAACTTAAAACACAACACACAAGATAGTATAGAGCAAGCAAGGGGTCGATCCCACAAAGAAGATTTAGTT